AAAATCAAACGTAGGGAAATGAAATGGTTAAAATTTAAGAATCAAGTACCTGATATATATATTGTTTGTTATAATTATTACTGAGTTGGTGTTAGATGTTAAAAAACTAGATGTTATATGATTTGATGTACACACTATGAAAATACTTACCTATCAGACTCACTGAAAGATAGATAACGAAATAAACGTTTTAATGGAACTGGTGAAAATATAACAGAATTTTACTGAATCTAGTCATAAAATATATAACACACCTTGATGGAATTAACTGAACCGATATCTTTAAGTAAGAATATCAACATAGAAACTAAACAGGATTAGATTTGACATAACATTTTAACCCCGATTGTTGAAATAATTAAGATAGCCGAAAAAGATACAAACGCAAACGATAGCGAATTAAATTAGATAAAATGGTTAACACTCTTTTAACTAATTAATTTCTGGAGTAATATTTTCCAACGAAGGATATACGTGACGGGCAGATAATACATAATTCAGAGATTCTTATACATTAGTACATAAGTAGTTCAAAAGATTCTATATTTTTTAAAAACTATGTAACAGCAAAAAAAAGTAATAACCATAGTATATCCACAATGCAAAAGGGAGTATTTGATGATAGTTTTCTAGTAAACTGCCTAATTATCCCTGAGAAGCAAGATCCTATCCTACCGCTTCAGGAGTTATAACTTCTTTAGCTGGTATCCCAGAGTCCGGTGTTTTAGTTGAAGCTTCCTGTTTACCTAGAACACAAAATACTATAGATAACGATTTGTTGCACTTAAAATCAAATAGCAACATGACGTGCCAACTTCGATATGATCAAATTAATATTATTCCACGGGAACAATCTGTAACGGATTCAAATGGCAATTTTCGTATTACAGGTCTCATGCCAGGTTGGTTCAATAAGTCATTTTTCTACTCCGCCTCACGTTTTGTTGTAAAATATGTACATTCTACACATAATGTACCTTTATAGACAACCACTGGAACAGGTGTATATAAACTGATCCCTGAAGTTATAGACGTTGACACCTTATTTAATTACTGCAATTCCATCAGTTGGAGCTAGCTGCTACCTTGACGTGGTGGTCGGGCTTGCCTGAATATCTGGACTACCTGTTCCTCCGAACTAGATATTTCATCAAATTATCTGTTTTGTTGTTTGTTTTAGCACATCATTATGTCTATTGTGCGCACAATTGGCTGGAACATATGTTCCTGTAGGTTCTACCGTGCCAGGCAGGTCGATTGCAGAACGGTAAGACTAAAAGCAGCAACTCAAGATCTGAGGGCGAAGTCGTACTGCTGATTGTAGAGGGGTGTAACAGCAGTAAGGTGTTTCCCTCGGACAACCAGCATCTACAGCGATGCTGCCTTCCCACAAGGAGGGGTGGGATTAGAAAAGGTCGACCCTAAAAATGTCACACCTCACCTTACCTCACGGATTTCCGTCTCCGGCGGCAAGGCCCTTTGAACAACGGAGCTAACACATTAAAATCCTTCCACGAAAAGGCCGTGCGCGACAAGCCTCAAGCATTTGTCCCTTGGGCTCTGCGGTCACGCTCCCAGGCCGTTAAGGCCGACATTAATCCATCTCCCTTTTCAGGTTCCTCAAGAAATACCCTTCCACGGTGTAGGCAGCCGGGAATTGATATCAGCCCTCATACCCGTAACAGCTACGTGACCAAGTTGGTCACATTCAAATCCTTCCTACACCTCCTAATACCTCTCTTATCTCCATGACTAACCCTCCTCCCGTCTCTTTATCACCTCGCACCGCTAGAGCAAACGATTCATGTACGCGGAACGTTATTCCTGGTCTCCTGAATCCATGCTCTAAACTATACGTAGGAGCTTTTAACGTCCGAACACTGTGCCAAATAGGACAGCAGTCTCCCTTAGCTAGGACTTTAGAATCTCGCGCCATCGATGTGTGCTGCGTCTCCGAAACGCGCATACAGGATCCGAGTAGCGTCATTCATTTGACCTCACCATGTCAAAATAAAGAACCAACTCGATTCACACTTCGTGTACCTGGAAGCCCAGATGCTACTTCTCGTGGCCTCGCCGGTGTAGGTATAGCATTGAGTCCTAGGGCAGAACTAGCTCTTTTAGACTGGATCCCAGTAGACAGTCGTTTGTGCGCTGTCCGACTGAACGGAACAATAAGGACTCGGAAAGATAGGGACACTCGTCGTTGCCTCTTCGTCGTCTCTGCCTATTCTCCCACTGACTGCAACGCAGATGATGTAAAAGATGAGTTTTACAGAAAGCTTTCCGACCTTCTCCGAAAAGCTAGGCGCTCGGATGTAGTAATAGTGGCCGGTGACTTTAATGCTCAAGTAGGTAAACTAAGCGAAAGGGAAAAACACCTGCGTGGATCTAATAGCATCGTGGCTCAAAGAACAGATAATGGCGACCGTCTGTTGCAGCTATGCTCAGATAACCGCCTCTTTCTTGCAAATACTAACATTAAGCATAAGCAAAAACAGATTTTAACATGGCGACCCCCTAATTCGTCCCAACGTTGGACCCAAATAGATCACATCGCTATCAGCCACCGATGGAGGGGCTCGATAGAAGACTGTCGCTCATTCTGGAGCACATGCTTAGATTCAGATCATGCTCTAGTGCGAGCGCGTATCTGTCTGCGTCTTACTGGACGTAGAAAAGACGCTGCAAGTAAACCTCTTAGGGCCCTACTTAACGATAGTCAGCCTAAGAGTATATTTCAGGAATAACTAGGAAAACAGCTAGGCAGCCATGTATGTGATGCCCACCCCGATGCAGCATGGAATGATATCCGAAAAGCTGTGGAAACAGCAGTGATATCTGCTAGTAAGGTAAACCAAAAGGTTAGGGAGCAACACTGGATCTCAACAGCATCTATCGCACTGATAGATGCTCGAAAACGCATTCCATCTGGATCTGAACAACGTTGGACCCAAATAGATCACATCGCTATAAGAAACCGATAGAGGGGTTCGATAGAAGACTGTCGCTCATTCTGAAGCACATGCTTAGATTCAGATCATGCTCTAGTGCGAGCGCGTATTCTCCTTTCAGTGACAAACACTGCTATAGAACATTACGATCAACAGAGTCGAATGCCGCCTTAAGGTCGAGAAATACTACCATTGTGGGGCGTCTGAATGTGTGTCTGTGTTCTAGAACCTGACATAGTGTGGATATCTGGTCTGTACAATTACGTCCAGGTCGAAAACCAGCCTGGTTTTCTCTAACCTGCTCTTCACCAGCTCTAGTTAGGCGTCGAAGTATTATTGAAGCTAATATTTTAGACACTATATTAGTCAAACTGATTCCTCTGTGATTGTCACAAGAGGACTTTTGTCCTTTCTTAAAAACTGGCACAATCAGTGATTGAGACCAGTCAGATGGGATTACGTCCAGTTCCCAAATTCTACCTAAGACCTCAGTTAATCTCACTGCTAACACTGAACCACAATCGTTAAAAATCTCAGGAGTGAACCTGTCAGGGCCTGCTGCACTCCCTCGCTTCAGATTTCCGATAGCTTTTTCAACTTCATAAAGAGTCGGAGGACCTACATTAACTTGCCACTCAGGTTGACTGGAGATCGTGGGAAACCGAAGTGTGGCTGAAGGCCAGTTGAACTGATCCATAAAGTGTTCTGCCCATCGATCCAATCTCCTGGATTGAGAATGTATAATATGTCCATCTTTTTCTGAGATCGTCTCGCTAACAGTCGGGTTCCTAATACCGGTTTCCCTAACAAGTCTGAACAATTGTCTGCTATTACCTATTGCCGCTGTCTTTTCCATCTCTCTTGCTTTGAGATGGCTGGGACACGTGTTACGTATGCCTAACCGCCGACTGTGCCGATGTGTGATGTTTTATGGTATAGGAGTGGGTTGGAAAAAAGCTAGGGGCTGCCAGATTAAAACATGATACAAATCCATGAAGTCACTGACAAGTGAACTGAGTGATTCATGTTGGTAGGTGTAGACTACCTGGTTGGGGACCGCGAGATGATAGCAACCGATGGTTAGAGACATTGAATGACATGGCTCGACTAGTTTTTGCCAACTTGCGTCATTTGTGGCGTAGGCGAGATATCCGTCTATCAACCAAAGGACGTGTTTACTGCGCAGCAGTTCGTTCCGTCCTACTTTATGGCAGTGAAACATGGCCGGTAAGAGTAGAGGATATCCGTAGGCTACTAGTATTTGATCATAGGTGTCTTCGAAACATTGCTCGTATATCATGGGATCATCGAGTAAGTAACACAGTTGTTAGGAAACGGGTACTAGGTAAGGATGGCAAATCAATTGATGAAGTAGTGAAACTTCATCAGTTGAGATGGCTGGGACACGTGTTACGTATGCCCAACGACCGACTGCCTCGACGTGCTATGTTCAGTGGTATAGGAGTAGGTTGGAAGAAAGCTAGGGGCGGCCAAACCAAAACATGGCACAAGTCCATGAAGTCACTGACAAGTGAACTGAGTGAGTCAAGTTGGTAGGTGTAGACTACCTGGTTGGGGACCGCGAGATGACAGCAACCGATGGTTAGAGACCCTGAATGACATGGCTCAAAATCGTTTGCAATGGCTCAGGTGCATCCACTCTTTGTGTTCTCCCAAATTCTAATCTTCTGAATTCTTCATGTCCCTTTTTTCCTCTTTCCAAATTTATTTCACTGGATTATACTCTTTAAATAACATCTCCAAACCTTAATGTTTACGATTACTGCTTATACTCTTACTATCTCTACCACTACGGGATTTGAGTCGACAACTGCATCTCTGTGCTGTGGTGTAGCAACTCGAACTGATGTACGTACGTACGAAGTCCTACGTTGTTACTGACTAACTGTTTACAATTAAAACATGAATTACAACGGATTTACCTGTGCATCATAGATCTGCGAAAGAAGCTATTTAATAAGTGACAACAGGTTAAAAAGGCTAATCAATACGTCTTCAATTTTATCGATATCAAGAATAACCTACCGTCTATCGTATTGATTTTTATTCAGTGATCTATTTTGTATACTACAACTATCATTTTGATGATTTTCATGTATTGGTTGACGATTAGTATTATTTTTTAGTACATTATGAAGATTTTCAGTGGAAGAATTTCCTGTAAATGAAAAAACGTTAAATTTTTTAATCAAATCAAACCCAATTAGACAGTTAAGATAAAACTTACAAAAGAAAGAACATAACTGACACATGACGATATCTTATTCTCTACAGAATAATTTATTTTTACAAGAAACTTAATATTAGCCAGTCAGAATTATCATCATTCGATTCTAGCTTTACAATGTTTTTGGTTAATATCTTATCCATGGAGCCCAAGTGCCCTGGTACGGCCGAGGGTGGCTTTTACGAAATTGAGAGGACGAAAAGCGAATGTCCGGCGTCTTAACCGGGTTGGTGGACATGGAGGATCCATCTAGGAGAGTTCGAAAACCCTACAGTACACACCAATAGTACACATGGGCTCCAGGATCTCGAAGGGACAAATGGTGTGTGAACCAATTATTGGTCACTGGCTACCATGGAACTGCATCTCCTCACCTTGCTCTACTGCCTTGTGCATTTGACATCTAGGTCAAAGGCCCTGGGTGTGGCCCCCTAAGAAAACCACCTGTTTCAGTCTGGGCACCAGGGCAGTATCACAGCCCATACACGAATCAAGTCACTTGTGTGGCATATATGTATTCGGTGCCCCTTTGTACAAATATTCATGTGTCTAAAGAAGTAATAAATAATACATCTTATCCCTTGTGACGACCTAATCAAGTTATGTTGGCTGAAACATCAGCTTCTGAGGAACTTACCATGTCAAGCAAACCAGTTGGTTGATGGGAAGACAAAAAGCAGCAAACTTAAAGTATGAGGAAGAAGTCACACCGTCGACAACAATAGTATGGTCGTATGGAAGTATCATCTCTAATCAGTCAGTTGTCTACAACATAGAACCAGGCACATATATGCATCAGTTCAAGCTGTCATACCTCACTAGCACAAGATGAACACCAAATTCATAAAAGCAGTTACTTCAATGGTGATAATATATAAAAAGGGACTGCATATAAGGGGATGATACAGGGAGAAAGAATTAGTTCGTAGAAAGAAAGGTATAAAGTGATTTTAATCTCACCGACATAACTCAGACTTTACAAAATTGAGAGGAGGAAAAGCGAACGTCTAGTATTTTAACCGGGTCGGTAGATACGGACGATCCACCTAGGGGAGTTGGAAAACCATGGGACTGCACCTCCTAAAGTTGCTCCACTACGTTGTGGACTCGACCTCTGGGTTAAGGCTCAGAGTGGGTGCCCAAGCAGTATTTCTGCTCTCACACAAATCAAATGCAAAATCATACGTGCGTTTAACACCCAAATAACGCATATATCTATCAGACAAAAAACGAAATGAACTTACCATCATTAGCATTCTCTGTAGCAGAGTTTATTTCATTATTTCGAGGTAATTGGATATTAGTAAACGATAAACCACTGAGAGATTCGCTGGTATTTCCAGTTGAATAGACAACAGCAGAGTTACTGTTGTGATTACTATTACTATTGTAATGATAAGTATTTGAGCGACTATGAAATTCTTCATTACAACTGGAAGGTATAAATTCTGTATCAAAATGTTCATACATCGAGTCACCACTTATATCCGATAGTAATGAGTTATTATCACAATATGTTCCAATCACATTCGTATTTCCATATTGCACTGTATTGTTATCTGCAGTTGAGGAGTGCTCTGAATGAGATTGTGAACTTGACTTTCTAACAACAAGAATCGGTGATTTAGATATGTTATCAGATTTTATAGCAGATGACGACGATGTAGGTACAAACTCAGTTATTGTTGATTTATCATTTTGATGACAATAAGTATGATAATCATTATTATGTAGACTTTTCCCAGTATGGATAAGGGGATGATGATGGTGGTGGTGGTGATGATGATGATGGTGCGATGAGTCTAGGTGAGATTGATAATCATGATTTGTAATTGTCTGACAAGTTAATGAGTTGTAATTTGCCGAATCTTTATGATACACACTTAAGCCACAACCAACATGATCTATATTGATCTTTCTTTGATTCTAGAAACGATACAAAACAAGAAAAATCTAGTTAGAAGGTCGATCTTATATATTAATAAACAATTATTATAAAATTTAAGGGAGCAATCTGTAGTGCATCAGTCAGTCATAAGCAACGTAGGACGAAGTACGTATGTTTATCAATTCAATTCTCTCTTTCACACTGGCACCTAAATGCCCTGGTATGGCCGAGAGTGGGGTGGGCCAGCCCCCATCTCGAAATGCTCTCACACGGCCAAGCGTATACAGCTTCTGACAGGGAAGTCCTACTCACTGCCTTCTCGTGGCACTACTGTTGTTTACGAAAATGAGAGGACGAAAAGCGAATGTCCGGCGTCTTAACCGGATTCCAACCCAATGGTGCACATGGGCTCCAGTACCCTGAGGGGACAAATGGCGTATGAACCAATTGTTGGTCACCAGCTTCCATGGGACTGCATCTCCTTACGATGCTCTACTGCCTTGTGGATCAGACCTTCAGATCGAAGGCTCGGGGAGTGGCCCCCTAAGAAAACCACCTGATTCCGTTTTGGGCACCCGGGCAGTATCACAGCCGTCACACATATCGAATGAGATTTGTGTGGCGCATATGTATTTGGCGCCCTCTTGTACCAATATATTTATGTATTCAAATAAATAAATAAATAAAACATTAGCACATAGCGATGAAATCGTTAAGAAAAATTGCATAGTAGAAGTAGGAACATTATCAGCAGTAGCAAAAAAGTTTATATATAGATATGAGTGACTTCGTGGAATAGAATAGTGAAATATGATTTCGAACCTCAAGATCTAAAGGAAAACAAAGAGTGAAAGGATATGGGTTATTGTTACCGATTTTGAGCCATGTCAACCCAATGCCTACAACTATTAGTTACGATAACTGTGTGAATCTCAACCAGGTAGCATGCATTTATCCACACGACTCAGACTAACAGTTAATGACTTCGTGGAACGCTATCGCTTATTGGTTTAGCCCTCCTCCTCAAAATTCTATGTACGTCTCGATGACAAGTGCCAACTAGCACGAAAACGAGGTTCAAGGTTTACTATTGACTATCATCAACCACCACCTAATGTATAACTAATTCCACGCACACCAACATTTAATACATCAACTATAACACTTTACTTGAAATATTTGTCTGGTTATCTTAACAAGTTTACATTTGCATTCATTCAACTGAGAAAAGAAAATCAAAACGAAAATACTTACAAGTCTATGTGAGGTATCAGACGAACAAGTAGATTTCTCTCCGATAGAATTTTGATGAGGAAGATGAGAAACTATTACAGGCTGAGGTGAATCGTGAGAAGTATTGGGCGTATGATGATGACGGACATAATGGTGATGATGATGACGATGATTGTTGGTAGTTGATGTTATTGCTGTGGCATCGTGAATTTCATTAGGATGATGATGATGATGATGACAATGTGTAAGGTGAACGTGATGATGATGAGGTAATACAAGGGACGATAATGGCGGCGAAGTCGAGTTAAAAACCAATGTCTGCCCACTAGTAACAGATGGATCAGGTGAACTGATATATGAAAGACAAGTACTAGTGGAAAGAGAAAGATTTTTACTACTACCGTTGGACGGTTCATTGATTCGGCAATGATCATTTACAGTAGATATGATTAAGTGTGATGATATTGGGTTTTCACAAACAGATGAACAAGGAACAACAGTATTTTTAAATGAATTAGAACAATTTGTTTCAGTCAAATCCATAGACAAAGTGGATTGTCCAATGGCTTTCTTAAGACATATTGATGCACTTGAACCAGTGGATTCTACACTTTGATCACATTCACTAAAGAAAAGGTAAAAGCACGAAAGAACACATTTAGAATCAACATATTTTCCAAAAAAATCAATAACATAAGCAGTCATTCATTCAGTTATATTCAAACTAGGAATTCGGCATAAATTTATGTCGGTCAAAATCGTACTGTTTGGCAGTATACGCTGATGATATTATCTACAAAGTCAGATAATGAGGGTTTCACAATCATAGTTCAGGAAATCCAACATCACTAAGAAAAAAACACTTCTTCAACAGTACCACAAATGTATCTAAATTGAAGCATATCACTACTGAAACGTTCAAAACAATTTTTATTCAGCTAACTAACTTGAACCGAATAGAAATATTAGCACAAATTGCACAAAATTTCAACAACTCTTCAAAGTGGTTATGCATTAGTTCTAGGAATTTAATTGGATATCAAGTATGAAATGACAACTACTGTTGTTACTACTTTGTTCACAAGTGTATTCCACTAATTTACGATGCTTCTATATCACAAACATTAAAATAATATTCATCTATTCACAACTGTCTGATGGCTTACAAAAAATTAACTTTTAGAAATATCGATGAAAAACAGTTCTTTCCTATCTAAAATAAGGTAAATCCTGAATAAACTATAAACCAATCATAATGTACAAATAGTAGTACGCACTCAATACCAAGACTGATTGAAGTTAGTGAATAACACCGTTGGATACCGAATCAATAGTCTAAAAGTTAAGTGATCACGTGCGAGACTGTAGGTCTTGGATTCGATTCCCGAGTGCAGGGTCGTGAGTGTGGATTGCTGAGGAGTCCCATACTATGACGAAACGACCATCCAGTGCTTCCATGCCTTCAATAGTGGTTTAATTTAGATTGATCCATGATTTCAATAAAATATAAGGAAAAGTATATTAGTGAATAAACATACCGAAGAAGATTATGATAATGCACTACCAATGGTTCACATAATAACATATCTGATTGCAGCAGGTTTGAATTAGTACAACGGTTAATAGGTAAACTAAACGTGTGAACATAAAACCATTTTCGACCCAATTTTACACGATATATAGGACAATCAAATAAATGACGATTGGAAGAGTTTTCAGGGGAAATTAAACTACTCGAATTAGATGATGTAAAAATTTTATGTTGTTGGTTCTCAACTGTTCCATCATCACTGTTAATTGACAATACACTTTGTTCAAGTAAAGTGTTACGGGCATGAGACCAACGAGATGCTTCATTAAATACTAAAATGTAAATAAATGAAACAATGACAATTTATCAAGAAATAAGAGAATCACTTTTATTTTCACCCTTAAAAAAATTAATGCAACCATTCGAATAGGAACACATGTAAAAAAAAAGAAGATTCATCTTGTATTTCATTAAAACTCTTTATTTATATGAAGATTTGTCAGCTTTATTTATTATATTAATTAATTTCTTTTCTTATCTTACCACTAGAGTAGTGTTATAACCTACCTATACCGATGGATCATTTAAACATATTTATTCACTAAAAGAAATCTATACAGTTGAGCGGCATTATACCTAAGATGAATTTAGCTAATTCTATCAGAAGTTATACTTGTATTAACTTCCTGAAGATTTTAAAATGTCATACACACCAACAACAAAAAACATGTGTATATTTACAATTGGATTGTTTGTTTAAAATTTACATGTTTACTATCACAAGAAGCAATGGTAAATTAATCGTTATCAAGTACTCAATTTTAAACTAGAAAGTTGTATGTATGAATCTGGTTCTATCTACTTCGATTCGAATAATCGAGTACCAGTAACCCTTCAAAAACGAAAAAAATATCACTCAAAAATCAAGTTACACAAACCATCTACCTAGTAAATGAGTCGCCACACCATAATTAATCATTATGGATGGCAATAAATGACTAGTGGGAAAGGAGAATCATTTAAGTGAAGAGGGAAAAGATAACTTGATTTAAATGAGTATAGTTTACTTTTAGAGGTATGCTTCTCCCAAATCGCTAAATCACCATCTTGAATTCTACTAGTCCAACTGTCACCAATTTGTAAATTAGCATAATCATTATCATCGCATTTTTCATTGTTATCTAGGCAAAAACTTTGTTGATTTGGAAGGTTTCTACATAGAAAAATAAGTGAATAAATAAAAATATCAAGGTAAATGATTGCTAGTCTGTAAAAAATATTCACAATATCTACAATGTATAAAGAGTATAGACAGATGTGTGCTATTTTACACACAATCAATATTATAAGAGATTGAATAAAACATCTTGAGCAACGATCAACAATCACCACACTATGATTCAGTGTAGTGCACCCAAATGCCCTGGTACAGACAAGAGTAAGGAGAATCAGCGCTACCTCTCGAAATGCTCTCACATGGCCACCTGCATACAACCACTGACAGGGAAGTCCTACTCACTGTCTTTCGTGGTGGGGGTTTGTTTACGAAAATGAGAGGACGAAAAGCGAATGTCCGACGCCTTAACCGGGTTGATGTGCATGTCAAAACTGCGCAGATACTGTTACGTTTGAAGAGGCTACAATACCAGCTGGGACCGGCGAACAGAACGAAAGTTAGTAAAACAACAACAGGCGAAGCCAAACTATTCCACTGCACCCCAACCCTGCTAACTAGGGCGAGAAGACCAGATTCAGCTGGGAAAACACACATTCTACAAGCAGCCGATACACAAACGAACAAGCATACAACTTATGCGTATATGTACAGTACAAAAATGTCCTTAGAAAACGTCACAAAATAGCGTACTAAAGGAGGAAATGAATCAATGACATTTAAGGTCCTTCCAGGTGGGAAAAACAAACAGGAGGTAAAAATGGTCGTTTTGGTGCAAAAATGAAATTCGAATTTCCATAACAAAATTACAAAGATGGGACATTTAACGAGTTATTCCACGGGATCTAGCGTCCTGAACAATACCTATCGCCAATCCGGTTTAAGCGCCAAACATTTGCACGTAGTCCTCCCATTTTCATAAACAGTACCGCTGTAAGACTTACGCCTGTTACCCCTTGTGGGGGAGCATATGCCGTCCACCAGCATTCTCCATCCAACTCTGTCCTGTGTAATCCTTTCCAGCTGTCTTCAGTTGCTAAACATCCTCTTCATGTCTGCTTCCGATTCCCGACGCAGTGTGTTCTTTAGCCTTCCCTTTTACCGTTTTCCTTCAGGATTCCAAGTTAGTGCTTGCCTCGTGATGCGAGAAGACAGTGAATAGGAATTCCCTGGCAGTAACTATATACGCGTGGCCATATGAAAGCATTTCAAGAGGGGGAGAGGACTCCCTCTCTTTGCTATACCAGGGTATATGGAAACGAGTGTAAATATGCCCCCCACACACATACACCCGACTTAGTTAAATTGGAATACAGTGTGAATAGATTATTAAATAATTACCTTGCTATCAACCGGTCATCGTATTATCAGATAATTAAGAATTGAAGTAACTATTACATAATTTGTTGGGATTTGCAAATAATGCTAAGCAACGTCCCAATTACTTTGTAACTTATTTAAGTACACAAAAATCTTTCATATTCAACTACACTTTCTCAGTTCCAAGTTGCAGTATTTTTAAGCTATTTTTATTATAACTCAATACTCATTAAGGGGAACAGAGTTTACAAACAACAATATACATATACCTTGTGTACATGATGAAAATACATAGGGTTTATCATTTTCATATGGCTAATCAAACCGAAAATCGTACCACAAGTGTGAATTCTTAATTCAATAATTGAAAAGTAAAGACTTAAAACTACTGAAATACTATTCAAGTTGATTTTTACAAAAAAAGTAAATTGTGCGGTATGTTTATCGGGTTGGTAGTGATTAAAGAGGTTGACTTTAAATCATTGAGTTTAGCAAATACACACACGCACACTTATTTTCAGTTTAGCCCTATCAACTAGTATCACTAGTGTTTACATACACGAACAAATAAAAAGTGACTACCAAGTTATATCAAGCAATATTTTAATCGGTTAACTAATTTTCTATGCACATACCAAGTGAAATATAATGATAGACACTATGAGCTTACTTGTCATAATATAATATTTCTCCACTTCGATTAACCACAGTTATAATAACATCCATCAATCGTTGGTGATAATTCCAAGTACTTTGTCCTTCATTATCCTCTGGCAGAATAACATCTGTAGGCAAAGTCAAGGCAATGCCTCCATCAGATTTTATACACAGTTTGGGAAGATCAAACGGTACTAATTCACTTTCGTTATTATTACTAGTAGTATTACTGTTATTATTGCTCTGATCAACTGCATTATGTTTTTTGTTATGTTCAATTAAAATAGGAGAAGAATCGCTAAATGATGGATTACGCAGATGAGGGGAATCCGAATGGTGAAATGGAGAAGGCTGTGAAGAAAAAATTGTCGGAAAGAAGATCAACATAAGGGTTTGACAATCATAACAGCAATAACACATCAGATTTACTTAGAAAAAGTATTAAGCAAAACATAGAATTCAGCGACACTAGAAAATTTGAACTGTCGAAAACTAAACAACTAAATGAAGCACAGAGGATACTACGCAAAGATATCGAGTCGCATGATAATATCGTGAATCTTCATCAAATGAGGTAGCCAGGGTATGTATTGCGCATACTTGACCATCTCACACCTCGACGAATAATGTTAGTTTGAGTGGTAGTAAGTTAGGAGGAGAAAGGTGGTGACAGCGCAGCCAAACCAAAACGTGATATTAGTTTATGGATTTACTAACTTTTGAACTGAATTATGTTGGTAGATGTAGATCAGTTGGTGGGCGTACACATGGTAACTGTAACCAGTGATTGAAGAAGTTGAGTGACATGATTCGGAGTCCATTAAAATGGAGTAAGTATATTCACTCTTTATCTTTCTCTACACCTTGAGTTCAAATATTTATATAAACACACAACTTTATTCTGTCTTTTCGAAGTACAATCTCATTGTTTAGTTTTTTTTCCTTGCTATTCATTTTACTGACGTTATCTTGTCGTGCCAGTGTGGTATGACAACGATTAACGTACATTTATACCAGGCTATACGTTGATTATGACTGACTGACTGACTCAGTAAATTCTCCTTAATTTCCCAAAGAATGTTAATCGAAAATCAGTTTGTGATGTAAACTGTCTCTTCGAATTAAACATTTGTCTAAATAAGTTAACAATTATTATTGATCAATGTAAATCGAGATAGATGACTGTAAAACCATTGATTATAGGAAATTGAACACTCAACGCTAATTAAATATCAACATAAATCTCTTTTTTTAAAAAGTGTTCGCATTTCGTATATAATAGATAGCTGCAGTGCACTGACTACTTCATAAATACCGTTCGGTAAGTTGGAAAAATAGAAAATAATGCATGATACTTTATCGTATTGATTGTTTATAACTGATGCGGAATGTTAACAAGTGTGGAACTGTCTAGAAATTATTATCTTTGTAATCAACTAACATCAAATTGTAGTTATCAACTTTTCATCTATAACAGAATAAAATATATTAGATTTATTACAGTGAGGAGTATGTGATGCATCAAATGAAAAACAACCTACCATACAATCCTCTCCGCTTGAGTATTGAATAACAACAGTGGATTGAGGTGAATTAGTAGGAATATAATACTTTTGAGAAATTTCATTATTGAATGCTGAACCTTAGAAAGAATAGAAATTATTAGACAAAATAAAAATATTAATAATAAGTGAAAGTAAAACCAAGTCGCGTTCCCGCTACAAAATCCGCGCGTATGTAAGTTGAAGTGAACAACACCAGTCCAACCAAAATCCAATAACTTCATGAACTAATCCCATGTGTTTGTCCAGGTGGTTTGGGCACCCGGGCAGTATCACAGCCCTCACACATATCGAATGAGATTTGTGTGGCGCATATGTATTTGGTGCCTCCTTGTACCAATATCTATGTGTTAAAATAAATAAATAATAAAATTGTTTGTCCAAAGTCCTTTCCCAGTTTACGCTAATGTTAAACGACATAGTACTTCGAGACGTGATGGTTATCTATCCTTATTAAATGTCCCAAACGCACCAATCAGTAAATGGTCTTGGACCTATCACATAATTTGCCGTCTAAGTTAACACTAAGCCTTATTTCTGTATGAATTATTTAGTGGTCCCACCATTTGTAAACACTATTTCGAAAACCGGTGAGTAAACACCAAAGCGTACCTTTAGATCCTATGGATCAAATTTCACTAAACATACCGCCTTCTTGTCTGCTAAATAGGTCACGCAAGTATCATGTATATGTGCAAAGATTTTGTTAACCGCTGCCACCGACATATTAGAACTGGTGAGACCTCCAACTCAAATTTGTGATGGGTAGAAACGTAAGCTTAATATTGGAACACTGATCGGAAACAAAATGAAATGACTTAGATTAGTTTACGATTTCAGTAAAATTCAACCATCTCCACATCCCTTATATTGAAGATAAAGAAAGCAGAAAACGCTCTTTATAAGAGAGGTTTTACTGTTTCAAGAAAGGCCAAACACTGTTGCATAATTGTTTTGCACATACTTAACAAATGGTTTAGAAACAAAGAAAACAGCAGCATAGCAAAACTGATCCGACAAAGCGAATTGATATAGACGCTGAATTTGCGGTTTGTGGTATAATCAGCTCAAAAATGCAGCAATTAAAAATACGATGGGGACTAAGCTTCATTTCCAAGATATTCCCAACGGATATATTCAATAGAAGTGATGCGATACACAAAGATTAAACTTACCAGCTAGATATCTTGACTGATTGGGGAACGAGTGACCTATAAATTGATTCTTACGACCACTCATGAAATTTTATCATGTTTACCTTTTGTTAGTATTCTGCATATAAACGTCATTTTATCAAGTGAAAAATCTTTTTCTTCGGGCTTAGTGGTCTTGTCTTTGGTTTCTAGTCATTGGGGTATGGCAACTTGGACCGATGTACATATGTGCGTGGTCCTACGTTGTAGCTGAGTGACTAACCATCGGGGGCCTTAAGTAAATAATACGGTCTCGTGAGCAGTCATCATCGAGCCACATTATATAACTGCTTATCATTTATCGATTAGCATCCCACTCATTGATTTTAACAATCGAATATTTCGTCTAATCAATCATTAATAATCTCTTTCATATCAAGAATACCTGAATTGAATGTTTATTATTTTTCGACGTGTAATATAAACATGTTCGAAGTAAACCATTATTACGGAGAACGTTGTTGAACTTAAAGCATTAATCTTCATAATACACATGGATTCATTTTTTGTATCTTAAATCTTAGGTGCATACTTACATATTTGTACTCTTTATTTTGTAATGTAGCGAGTTAAACCGGATGTTGTAGTGTTTGATATGACAGTAAAAAAAACTAGTTTCGGAGTTTTCAAGTAATTGATTCCCTTTATGAATTGTTGCTCTGATTTTATTGTAAGAATTCCTAGTAATCAAATGTTCTACTTTCCATAGTTAATGAAACAATGCCAAACAATGATCAAGTTTTACACAATCATGTCTTCTATGCATATTCATCAAGCTCTTAAAGGCAAGAAATGGATTAGATTTTTCTTCTTACTCAGTTCTAAAGTTTTCAAAAAAATTTCAAAACAACAAAGTGATTGTCTTTAAGTTCTATGTGAAAGACTACATACACATTGGAGCGAAAAAGTAGGCAACAAACCTCTTAAACCAGGTGAAATATGCTCTTCATTGCACGTATTGGTAGTTGGTGATAAAGACAAATGATAGATTGGACTGATTTTAGGATACAGCGATAGATTATCAGAGTTAACAGGAGATAACTGATTTTTTGTTGAAACACTGAAACCTTCTCGACGTTCAAAACAACCAGGTACAGAAGATGGTCTAGTACAATGAGATTGAGAGGCAGCAATAGCAGCCATTTTTGCAGAGGGATGATATAAATTTTTCGAGGCAGATTGGAATGCATTCACATTTAGACAGTGTTGAAGTTCATTAGGTGTGATCATAATTATCGGATTAGAAAGCGCAACGCAATCCACTCTGTCCTCTTTAACACTAAAGTTAATGGCCGAAAAGTTACGTACATTCCTAGATATAAATTTAAAACAAAGATAAGGAATAAAACAGGTGAAAAATTAACAAATCAGCAAATAAGAAGGCTACTTACAAAAACTAAGTCATATGTGATTATCTTTTCTACAAACTACATATATTGTGTGTAAATTTATTTTGAAGAAAATATTAGTCTTTCTTCTTGAGCTGATTAACTACTATAATTGGAATTTCAAAAAAATTTCACTTACAATATTTTCATCCATATAAAGAATGAAACCATCTAAGTACTTTGTTCAATAGGTTAAAAATATCGACCATTTTAACACATATTCCCCGGTATTCAGTTATGATAGTCAGAGCAAAAATCACTGACAATCGATACAATGTAAGGTACCTAATTAATTTCAGATGTGTTATCAAACTTGCTATTGACTTTTTCATGTCGACTTTGTAAATCGTTAGGGTTTACGACAGTATCTGTCATTAAGAGGCATACCGGAGAACATCAGCCTTGAGCAGGCTCTCTACACAAACATAACCAGTCGAGTAAGTGTTTGTGAACCGCGTTGTCCAACCTATTTATTTTTATTTCACTTCCTAGAAAACATTCTTTTTGGAATGTCACTGGATCCTAGCCAAATCACCCGGAAGCTGGGTCACTAAATACCAAACAGTTAATCGATCCTCGTCAGTGTCAAGAACAACCTACGCGCATCAATCAACTGCATACCATGGACTGCCCCATGAGGTTGTGGTCGCATTGTTTCTTGTACCTACTCTCACCAATAATGATTCCTGTAATATCGTTATGTTTGTTCTATACGGTCATCAAACTAGCCATACGACGAAAGAGTAATCCACGTTATGTATCAACCGCGAGGTGTAAATTCGACATAACCTATGAGGTTACACTATTCCCATTCAACTCGAGTAGGCTTCGTAATCACTGACACAGATTACCTATGTTGGTGATCTACAACACTTTTATAGTCTAAGTTTTCGGGAGTTGATTTCCTACAAGGGGATTTGATTTTTGACTTAATACGCAAATAATATACTTTTATTTGGTTATGATATGCCAAGCATCTCATGGACCCAGGGTTATATAAGCCCCCTTCAAAACAAAGAGGGCATTACAATGAACGTCATCCAATTCTATGCGCCTACCAACGCTTACAATTAAGACGCTGAAAATCAATTCTACGATAGGTTGCAGTCAATCTTTGAGAAACGCCCAACAAAGGACCTGACCATTCTGATGGAACACCTAAATACCAAGGTCGGAATGGGCAGCACCGGATATGAAACATCATGGAACGACATGGACTGCAAAAGAGGAACGAAAATGGTGAGAGGTTTGCAAACATATATGCCCTCAATAAACTGGTCACAGGCGGCACCATATTCCCACATAAACGCATTCAAAAAATCACATGGACTTCACCGGATCACACCACACAGAACCAAATCGACCACATCTGCATCAATAAAAAGTTCAGAAGGTCAATGGAGGACGTGAGAACCAAAAGAAGAATTGATATAGCTTCAGATCACCACTTGGTGGTCGCCAAGATGAAATTGAAACTCAAGAAGCACTGAACAACGGGGTAGACAACATCACAAAAGTTTAAAACGACCTTTCTTCGGGATACTGACAGACTCAACGAATTCAAGATAGCCCTCAGCAATAGGTTCTAGGCCTTTCACGATCCATTCTATTGAGAGGGAATTACCATGGAGAACAACTGGAAGGGGATCAAAGAGGCAATCACTTCAACATGTCATGTGGTTCTGGGCCACAAGAAGCATCATCATAAGGAATGGATCACTGTTGATACACTGGATAAGATTCAAGAAAGAAGGAACAAGGCAGCAATCAATACCAGTCGAACAAGAGCAGAAAAAGCCAAGGCACAAGCTGAATATACAGAAGTAAACAAACAAGTGAAGAGAAGCATCAGAACCGACAAACGTAAATATGTGGAAGATTTAGCAACGACGGCGGAAAAGGCTGCAAGAGAAGGAAGCATGAGACAATTGTATGACACAACAAAGAAACTCGCTGGAAATTATCGTAAACCAGAACGACCAATGAAAAGCAAGGAGGGCAAGGTAATCAACAACATTGAAGCACATCGGAACAGGTGGATAGAACACTTCAAAGAACTCTTGAATCGATCAGCTCCACTGAACCCACCCAACATCGAAGCAGCACCCAGGGACCTTCCAATCAATGTTTCCCACCGACAAATGAAGAGATCAGCATGGCCATCAGACAAATCAAGAACGGCAAGACAGCGAGACCGGACATTCCAGCAGAGGTACTGAAAGCAGATGTAGCAGCAACTGCGACTTCAACAGACTGGAAAGGACACCTGATCAAGATGCCAAAGAAAGGCGATCTCAACAAGTGTGAGAACTATAAAGGCATCACTCTTCTCTCAATACCAGAAAGTTTTCAATAGGGTGTTTTTAAACAAAATGAGGGACTTCATGGACGCCCAACTGAGAAATCGACAATCTGGATTCCGTAAGGGTCGGTCCTGTACCGACCAAATCTAGGTCAAAGACTCGGGGAGTGACCCCCTAAGAAAACCACCTACTTTGGTTTTGGTGCGCGGGCAGTGTCCCAGCCCTCACACAAATCACTTGGTGTGGCGTATATA